TTTTTTTTTTTTTTTTTTGGTACCGGGGGTTGAACTCGGGTCCTTGCGCTTGCAAGGCAGGCCACCGAACCACTGAGCTAAATCCCCGGCCCCACTATATAATCTTTTACAAGTGACTCTTTAATCTATCTGGATGTTATATTGGTATATGATGCATGATGAGGAATTTTTTTTTCTTTCAGAAAACTAGCTCCACTGTGCCAGATCCCGTTAAGTACTCCCGCTAAACTCCTGGGTTTCAGAGACCCTTCAGGTTATGTTAATTCTTACACAGACTGGTGTCCACACTGGGTAACTAACTCATCAACCAATACGTCCACTGGTGCCAGGCTGATTTAAACAATTCAGCTTTACATTTTATAATACTTCAAAAAGCCAGTTTTTCTTCCTCAAAAAGTTTTTAAAAAGCTTACTTAGCTATTTTATCTTCATCTATTTTTTCCAAAATTAATCAGTTATTCAATTTTTAATCCCACTGGAACTTAGAATGAGATTGCACTTATTTAAATCAAATATTTAATCAAATTTGGTAAGAAGTGACACCTTCATAATATTCTTCACATAGAATGTTTCTGTATTTGTTCAAATCTCCTTCTAATTTTTTAATGTTTTATAGTATTTTTCATCAGTAAGTCCTATAAATGTTTTAAGAGTACCCATAGGGCTGGGGATTTAGCTCAGTGGTTCTGCTGCCTGCCTCTCAAGTGTAAGGTCTCGAGTTCGATCCCCAGTACCAAAAAAAAAAAAGAGTACCCCTAAATACTTTGCAAATATCTGAGGAAATGCACATATTTCTCTACAGTGGTTTCTTATTGATACTTGCTCCTGTGTAAGGATAATGTCTAGTCACTTCATTAAACTCTCAATGACATATAACTCTTTCTGGTGGTTCTCCTCACCATACACAATGACACTATTACACTACAAATAGTAATGGCCTGATTCATTCTTTCCAACAGGCCATTCCTTTTGTTTCTGTTTTCGGTCTTATTATAATATGCAGAACTTCCAAAATAATGCTATTAAAAATTACAAAAGAATGACAGTGGAGATCTTTGCACTTGATTTTAATGAGACTGTCATGTTTCATCATTGGAAATGATGACAGCTACTGATTTCCTCCGTTCGACACAGACTTTAAAGTTCTGTGGGGAAAAGGAAGGTTTTTAGTTCATCTTCTCCCAACACTTTCTTTCTACAGAAACTGTACCCCTACCTCGATGACACAGGGAAGGGAAGAACATCTTCCATAGACATGTAGCAGAATCCTCTTGCTCTGAAACCTAAAGACACAAATGGTTCCTCAGTCCTGTCAGAAGAAGGGGTTGAAATTCAACCAGAACACAATAAAAGTGATTGTATTATACATGACAAAGACTATTTTTTTCCTCAACCTCCTAAGACAAGCTAGCTGCAGAAAACAAGAAGTTTCATGGGAGCCTTTCTGAGATCTTTCTGGAGTTACAATGGACAAATGCTAACTCTTGCTTAGTACAGTTTTAAGCCCTGAGTGTTTCTTGCTCTTCTGCAGCATGGAACCACAGATCTCAGTGAGGCACAGCACCACCCACCCTGGAGCAATTCCCAAGCAACTTCCTGAGGGAAATGCAGGCTTTGCTCATAGTCATTACCTCCATGAAGAAGTCAACCTCTACAGCCTGAGTTCTCTAGTGTTCAAACTACAGGCATTCTCCCTGTCCTCAGTTTCCCTTTCTTTGGCTTCAGTTATTGAAGGTCATATGGGTCAGAGAACAGTATATGGAAAATTCTAGGCATAAACAATTCATGAATTTTAACTTGCACAACACTCTGAGAAGCATGATAAAACTTCCATCCTGTGAATCAGGATACATATCCACACAGTATAAGCTACTCACCCATTAGCCATATAGCAGCATCTCAGTTATCAGAGCAAATACTGAGGTTTGCAGTACTTATGTCTAATCCACCCCAAAGTGCAAGAGTAGTAATGCTGGCAATTCAAGTTTGCCAAGAAAAGACCATAAAGTGCTTGCTTTAGATGAAGAACAAAAGTATAATAACTTGAGAGAGAGCCTACATTAGTGTAATTTTTGTTACAGTATGTTGTTATTTTCTTCTATCACTAGTTACTGTGGTTAATCTCTTACTGTGCCTAATTTACAAGTTAAATCTTATCATAAGTACATATATGTATGAGAACAAAAACATAGTATATCTAGGGCTCAGCACTACCCATGATTTCAGGCATCAACTGTGATCTTGGAACATAGTGCCATGAGTATAGCAGACTGTCTACCACCGCTGAACTCCCCCAACTGGATTCTCATTTTGCCCTTAATCTTTAGTGAACATCCTTAAAATGATGTCATGTTCCTTTCACAAAGTTCAGATGAGGAAACAGCACCCTGGCACACCTAAAGGACTACAGCTACCTGCCACTCCTTGGGCAAGCTCTGTGGCTACTGCTCACACTGTTTGGGCCTGGCCTGGCAGCCCATTCCCTCCTAATACCCACAGATCTGTGCATCCTGGAGGAAGGGGCAGAGCCCTTTTCTGGGCTGGAACTTGCCAGGAAGTTCACATCCAGATTCTGGGCTCCATCCCAGCACATTTGATTAGTAATGGGCTCCATTTATTGAATGTCCAACCCTGACAGGTACTATGCCCTGCAGCTAAAGGGCCATGGACTGGGTAGTGGCATTCACAACTTAGGGAAGGATCAAGGGAGTGAGCAGAGGGGCTGGTCTTGGGACAAAAAGCTCCATGAGAGGAGTTCCTCCTTCCTCTCTGTCACGGAGGGAGCAGGGCATCCATGCAGCAATCCCAGTATCTCTGATTCAAATAAAAACTTCTCAGTTAGTTCTGAGCTCTTTAGACAAAAATATTAATTTGTGGAAGCCCAACAGTCATACTCCAGTTTATGAGATGCTAAAGGGCCTTACTTTAGTATGCCTGCCAAAAATGCATCTTCCAAACTCACCAGCCAGTAAGTAGGTAGAGAGACAGTTTCTCCTTGACTGGGCTAAAAGTGAGCAGTCTGGTCCTCACACAGAAAGGGTGAAAATAGCTACACTACAAAGATGAAGACACAGAAGGTATCCATTTGATACCTTCACCATTTGTTCACACAGTACAAACCTAACAGCCTGCACTGTCCTGCCTAAGAAAAGAAAAAAACTCAAGAATATGCTGTCATACACGTGGGTATTCAATACCCAGCTAGCAATTTAATTCCAAAATTAGGCAAAAGATTACTACTAAATAGGCTTAAGTCAGTTACCTACTGTATTTCTCCCAAAATAAGACCAGGTCTTATATCAATTTTTGCTCCAAAAGACATGATAGAGCTTATTTACAGGAG